ATGTTGAAAAGCACCAGTCCAAGCACGGACCCCTGAGACACACCACTGGCCACTTCTCACCAGGATGACACAGATCCATTCACGAGAACTCTCTGGGTCCTACCATGCAGCCAGTTTTCAACCCACTGAAATGTTGAGCAATTAAGCCCACAGTCTTTCAATTTTTCCATAAGGATATTGTGCAATACTAGATCAAAAGCCTTTTGGAGATCTAGGTATATAATGTCGACCTTCTCTCCCATGTCCAGGTGGTGAGAGACCTGTTCGTAGAAGGAGATGAGATTGGTAAGACAAGACCTACCCACGACGAAGCCATGCTGGCTGTTGTTCAGAATCTGACCCTCAATGAGCGTATCGCACATAGATTCTTTAATGAGTTTTTCCAGGATTTACCCTGGGATGGAGGTTAGGCTGATTGGCCTACAGTTACCCGAGTCCTCCCTCTTCCCCTTCTTGAGGATGGGCACAATGTTAGCCCCAATGTTGATCTCCCCTGTATGCCACGATTTCTGAAAGAGTTTTGCCAGGGTCCCACAATGACCTTAGCCAGCTCCTTCAGTACTCTCAGATAGAGTCCACCCAGTCCCGCTGACTTAGAAATGTCTAGCTTTTTTAGTTGATTTTGCACCAGCTCAGCATCTACAGTGGGAAGGCTGTCAGTCCCGGCATGCCCCCTATAAGCCTTGTCTCGTTTGTCTTTCGCTTTGGTCTGGTGAAATACCGAAGCAAAGTGGGCATTCAGGAGTTCAGTTTTTTCCTAAGAGTCCATTACCAGCTGTCCCAAAGTGTTAAGCAGGGGCCCCATGCTTCCATTTGTTTTCCTTCTGCTCCCTATGTACCTAAAGAAGGGTATACCTAAACCTTCTTATTGTCCTTGACTCCCTTGGCTAACTTAAACTCAGTCACCGCCTTTGGCCATTGACCATGTATGTGATCAACCATCACATACAGACTGGAAGCAGGGTGTAGCCACCAAGGAGGGGTATACCTGCTTGGCTTTCACTTGCAATGAATCAGTTAGGAAGGCCAAAGCAGAAATGGAACTGAGGCTGGCAAAAAAATTAAAGACAACAAAAAGTCGTTTAGGTACACAGGGAGCAAAAAGAAGGTGCATGGTAACATAGGACCCCTACAGTACAGACTAGGGCAACTGGTAACAGATAGGAGGGACAAAGCGAAGCTCCTAAATGAGTTCTTCACATCTGTGTTCCTGAACACAGATAAAGACATATCTCCCAAAGGAGCTATAGACAGGCACAAGAGGGACTCCAGTCCACCAACAGTTAGCACTGACCTAGTGAAGGGACATTTGGAGGGGCTGGATGTGTTTAAGTCAGCACGCCTGGACGATCTTCATCCAAAGATGCTGAAGGAATTGGCCAGTGTCATAGCAGAACCACTGGCGCAGTTGTTTGAGCACTCATGGTTCTCAGGACGGGTTTCAGAGAATTGGAAAAAGGCCAATGTGGTCCCTATTTTCAAGAAGGGGAGAAAGAATGATCTGGGTAACTATAGGCTGGTTAGCCTCACCTCTATCCTTGGGAAAACCTTTGAAAAAATTATTAAGGAACACATTTACGGGAGTCCAGCAGGAAAAGTAATGCTGAAGGGCAACCAGCAAGGATTCATAGCAGATAGATCCTACCTGACTAACCTTGTTACTTTTTATGACTGGGTCACAAAATGCTTAGATGCATGAGTTGAAGTAGATGTCACCTACTTGGATTTTAAAAAGGCCTTTGATACAGTGTTGCATCCCATTCTCACAAATAAATTAAGCAGTTGTGAAGTAGATTATTACATGGTTCGGTGGGTGGAGAACTGGCTTATGGGATGCACACAGAGGGTAGTACTGGACGGGTCATTTTTGACCTGGAAAAATGTGGGCAGTGGAGTTCCCTAAGGTTTGGTCCTTGGGCCAGTGCTGTTCATTATCTTAATCAGTGACTTGGATGAGGGTGTGAAAAGCACTCTGTCCAAATTTGCAGATGGCACCAAATTATGGGGCAAAGTAAACACACTGGAGGGCAGGGAGTGGATTCAGGTGGATTTGGAAAGTGGGCAGAACAGAATAGGATGCAGTTTAACAAAGATAAGTGCAAAGTGCTGCATCTAGGGAGAAAGAATCACCAACACACCTACAGACCGGGAGGTGACTTTCTAAGCAGCAAAGCAGCAGAAAAGAATCCTGGAGTCATAGCTGACTCCAAAATGAACATGAGTCGTCAATGTACCAAAGTGATAAGTAAAGCCAACCGCACTCTTTCATGCATTAGAAGGGGCATCACAAACAAGTCTAAGGAGGTGATACTTCCCCTCTATGAGGCATTGGTAAGACCACAGCTGGAGTACTGCATCCAGTTCTGGGCACTGCACCCATGCTCCTCATCCAGCCGCCAAGCGGAAACTTATTTATAAAAGGTTGAAAACCCCTGACTTAAGTGCTTTATTGCTCTACTGCACCACCTTGAAGCATTGAATTTTTAGACACAGCTCCTTTCCCAACCCAAGTACTTGAAAAATCACTAATGTAAAAAGGGAGCTGGGAAGTGGGGTTCATGGCCTCGTCCTGTTTTTTTTGGGGGGGGGGAGGTTGTTGGGGGTTTTGTGTGCCTTAGTCTTAAGGCTAAGATAAAGGGCAACTACAAAAAGAGATGTTTAAATGATTTTTCAGGGACATAAGCTCCCTAAAATAAGACTGCACTCAAGGGATGTCTACACTGGTGTGGTGCCACTGCCAAGAAAGCACCAAAAATAAGCCCCTGCCAACCTGCATCTGCTCCACATATTCCCAAGCTGAACCTGAAAGGGGGAGGGTGCTCCCAGCACTCTTTAGATCCTAACACACAAACACCCCCAAGAGCAACCTCTGGGGGCACCCCCAGAAGACACTTCTATTAGACACCTAACAGGTCTTTGGATTCTGTCTCAGTGGCCTAAAGCGGGTCTTGGGCAGCCTTCACTCCTCCATACTCTTGCTTAGGCATATACATTGAAGGTCTCAGTGTGAAAGTCACTGTACAAGTGGATTTATCAGGCACCTGACTAGACCTCTTATGCATAGACCATGATCCAGAGGATTGACAGTTTCTGATTAAGTGAAATAGCTTCTGGCTCTTATTTAAAGTGTTCAACTTCTATAAGATAGACCTTAAAATCTATGGGGAAAGACTTAACACATTGAAATAATTTTTTGAGTATCTTGAACTTGAAAACTACCTTCTGTGTAATGGTAGGGATGTTAATTTTTAATGAAAACGGTATTGATAACCCTCTTGCCCTCTTTGGGAATCAGGATAATTTGGTAATTGAGTGAACGTGCCAGGTGTCAACTGGTTTGGGTTCCATTTCTATATATGCCATATACTTGGTGTGACCCTGAATAAAGCATTTTAAGGAAATTGAGTCACACATAAGCTGTAAAATAAGAACAACAATTATTCCCTACCTCCTCGGAGGGTTGCAAGGAGGTATTCAATAACATCTAACATGTTTTCATGCCACAAGGTACAAAGGTATTGAGAGTCTAATATATCTATTCTTCATCTCTTATTTTCAGTCTCTAGAGTTTTCTCAAAAGCAAAAGTGGAAGTTGACTGAGCTGATGTCCTATCCTCCTTTCTTTCTCAGTTGTTTTGATAATGTAGCTTTTTCTAACACTAAAGTACTATCCTAATTCTGTCCCCTCCCAAACACCAGCCCCCAAGATTTCCTGTGAACAGTCTGAAGTAACTAGTCTAACCTTAGCCATCTCTCACACACAACTCTAAATAAATAGCTATTTCAGACAGATCATGGCAAAAGAAGTCATTCTAAAAGTTATACAATATTTTTCCATTTCAACTGTGCCAGCTGGTTCAGCATTTGCAAAACACTAAATTTCCCAGCATCACATGGGGACAAACTCGTCTTAAAATGGTACCCCCCATGGTACCCCCCCCCCCCCCCC